TCCATAAGTAATAACTAAGCCTGGTTCCATCCACAAGTAATGACCAAGCCAGGTTTTGTCCACAAGTAATGACCAAGCCTGGTTCAGCCCACAAGTAACAATCAAGCCAGGTTCAGTCCATAAGTAATAACTAAGCCTGGTTCCATCCACAAGTAATGACCAAGCCAGGTTTTGTCCACAAGTAATGATCAAGCCTGGTTCAGTCCACAAGTAATGACCAAGCCTGGTTTAGTCCTCAAGTAATGACCAAGCCAGGTTCCGTCCACAACTAATGGCCAAGTCAGGTTCAGTCCTCAAGTAATGACCAAGTCAGGTTCAGTCCACAAGTGATGACCAAGCTAGATTTAGTCCTCAACTAATGACCAAGTCAGGTTCAGTCCACAAGAAATCATCAAGCCTGGTTCAGTCCACAAGTAATGACCAAGCTAGGTTTAGTCCTCAAGTAATGACCAAGTCAGGTTCCCTCCGCAAGTACTGACCATGCTAGGTTTGTCCTCAACTAATGACCAAGTCAGGTTCGGTCCACAACTAATGACCAAGTCAGGTTCAGGCCACAAGTAAGGATCAAGCCAGGTTCGGTCCACAACTAATGACCAAGTCAGGTTCAGTTCACAAGTAATCATCAAGCCTAGTTCAGTCCACAAGTAATGACCAAGACTGGTTTAGTTCACAAGTCCAGATTGGGTTCAGGCCACAAGTATTGTCCAAATCTGGTTCAGGTCACAAGCTTATATGAAATATTGCATATGAATTGAGTACTTGTGATTATCCCAGTGCTATTACACAGGGGGTGGTAAGAGAGTCTTATGAACTGTACAAGCTATGACTGGAGTGTACCCAGGGTTTCCTTTCCGTACCCTTAGCGGCTGAATGATACGTACATGCTGCAGGATATAGGAAAACTAAAGCAAACCTGTCGCTTTGCCTAACTAAAAAGAAAAAATTACCCAAACTCTAATGATGTATGCCAAGTTTCTAACTTTGTGTGTTTGATATGCTGTGGGAAATATTCAACAGAATTTGTTAATAACCTTGGCTAAGAAGAGAGGTTTGAAGATGAAAGGTAAAATTAACTGTTATTTACCTTTTTTTTCCTATTCCTGTATGTATATTCTTACAGTATGTGCTATAGAACTGTACAGTTATGTTTTTTTGAATACAGCAAGCCATTGTTCCTTTAGTGCCCCTTGCTTTTATTTAGAGAAGACCAAGCTTACAGAGAAGATGGTCGTCATCTATGGAAGGCTGGGCTAGGCTGGACTCTATGGACTAGGCTGGACACAACCTACTGACAGCTGGCTCTTTATGTTAAATAACATCAACTTTCTGTTTAAATGAACTGATACTTAACCAATAATACACAATGAGAGAACTTTAAGATAACCGTACACTGGTAGTGTGCCATCGGACACTTGCCAAATGTTGTTGGGACCTTTGTTTGATTTAACATTTGATTTGGGAAATTAATGGAGTTTTTTGAACGAAAACTACTGTCAATGTTCGAATTTTGTGTCTATGAGAAAAATATTCCATCCTGCTCTTTCGATTGTTTTTGTTGGTCAAAGTCGTTCATCAATTTGACCCAATTACCTATTACAAATCAAATGAAGTTTCCGAAAATGATTCTACTGGTACATGGCCAGCTTTAGCCTGTTGCCATGATAAACTTCCTGTTCTCACATCTTTCTGCTTTTCCACTACAAACTAAAAACCATGAGTGCAACACAATTTACCAACCTGCAGGAATAATTATGAAGCAAATTGTTTTATCTTTTGCCATTGAGTGCCTAGTATAACATAATTTCTGTGTAGCATATTTCACGCAATACAGTACAACTGACTGGCAACGTATGTTGCTTCTCCCTTTCCCAATTTGAGCTCTGCTGTAACTCATTGGTTCAGTCTCATCTTGAGTATGCAGTACAGTTCTGGTCGCCGACTCTCAGGAAGGACGTTTTGGAAATATAGAGAGTTCAGAGAAGGGCTACAACATTAATTAAAGGGATTGAAGGCCTGAGTTATGAAGACCGCATTCAAAATCTAAACGTATTCACCTTAGAAAAGAGGCAATTAAGAGGGGGCCTTATTGCAGTCGTCAAAATCATCAATGGGGACCCCAATATTAGGAGCAAGCTGTTTTTTTCGAAAACTGTATTGAGAACCTAGAGACACAACAAGAAGTTAGACGAGAGGGGGTTCAATCTTAGAATTTGGAGGGGGTACACCACAGTTGGTGGTATCTGCTGATAACATTGATAAATGCAAGAAACTTCTGGATGAGTTTCTTCTTTTGCAGAATCTACAGTGCTATGGAAAGTGTTAATAAATACAGACACACACACACACACACACTCACATACATGGGTCAAACTGGATGGACCCTGGTCTTTATCAACCTTACATACTAAGTTACTATGTACCAGGACTGCAAGAGGCTGATACCAACCTGTATTTACTGCATTAAAAATACTGTAATGCATTAAAAATACAGCACTGCATTCCAATTTTGTCTTTTATATGTGCCTTGAGTTCAGCTTTAGAGGATGTTCAACCTTACTATGGAAGAAATAATAGAACATTCTATATGTAGTACATTATATGGAGGAGGGCACATAATTCATTTGGCAAGGTATTGCCTTCCATTGTTTTCCCATGATGCCACCACTGCTATTCGGCAAATTATACAATGCCAAATTCCTGTGTTCTTCACCAGTTCCAAAGTGTCTGTCTTCTGGGACTGTTCTGTATATGTATATGTAATAACTACCAAACATTTATAGGTGAACTTTCCTTTAGAGGCCTTTTTGTAAATTACTGTGTTGCTTACAGGTTTCATCATTTGACATACTCCAATGTGGACCACCAGTGCTACCTTCCATTTGTGAGGGGTGGGGAGCCCATGGCCAAAGAGGTTGGCTAGGAGGGACTTCGGAGGGTTTTCTGCAAGGAGAAGTCACACAGAGCCAGTCGGAGGTCGTCAGACGAGAGGCGAGCGTCCCTCCCACCCTCCTTGGAGTTGTTTTTTATCTGGCTGGAATTAGTCACGGTGGCTGCTTGGAGGCTTGTGTCCATGAAGGTGTTTCTTGGCTGCCGTCTGATTTTTAAATAATGGAGAACCCATCTTTGGTGTGGGTGTCCTCCATGTATTGAAGTACAATGGTTGTGACTGGGTAATAGGGACCAATGTGGGTCTGTGGTCAGTTAATAACGTCCCTAAGGATGTGCATGGAGGCTGGGGGCATTAGGTACAAAATGTGGCCGCAGATGCTAATTTGTTGATGGGATATAGTGCCTTCAAGGACCTGAAACCTGAACATTCTTATACGGTCCGGTTATTTGTTGATGTTGGTTATTTATAAATGTTATTTATACTGGTTTTGTTAATAAAAGGCCGCTGTGGTCATTAAACTCCATCCCATTGTGTAGTGGTATTATTTTGTACAGGGGAGGATTGGGGGGGGGGTTTACATGATATAAGAGGTTTAAAGTGGAGAAAGGGGGCCTCTGAGCTACATGTCATGAGTTTTGGGCTACTCAGAATCTTCTGGATTTCGCCAGATAATTGGTAATGTCACCCTGTGCAGTATGGAAGATGGAGGTAAGGAAAGGAGTTTTACTATCTTTTTTACCCTCACTGTTTGGTATGGGGGGGTGCTCCAGTAAATAAGCTGACCTCGCTTTGGAGTGCACATCTTCCTTATGTACATTGTAATGGGGAAGCATGGCTCCAACAACCAAATTTCAAATCCTGGAAATCCCCCAAAAATCCAGCATGTGATTTAACTTGCTACACACAATATCTTAGGGGTTTGGTAGGTCCTATGGGCTCTGCAATATCTGAAACCTTACCTAAGATCAACTGAAAAGATAGTGTAATTGTTGCCAAAGGCATTCAATTCTATGTGTATAACTACAATAACCAGTCTATCTGGTAAAGGCTCTGCTGATGGCTCAGATGATACACATCCCTTTGCTCGCCTGGGGTAGTTAATAATCTAAGGGCTTTAAGTCACAGGACAGTCTTTTTCTTTGAGTGGAAAAAAACAACCTTTTTGGCTTTGATTTATTAAATGAGTAGAAAATGTCCACTTAGTATATAAACTGAAGGCCAAGGAGGACTGGGATGGTAGGCAGAGAGGGCATTTGTCTCCCAGGCCAATATTAATAAGGTATGTTGGGCTGATTGAACATCAATCGAGTTTGGACCTGCAGTTAGTGATAATTTATGTGCTACACATAGGTACATGCTTCTTGTTTAGACCTGTGATCATAGCATCTGAAGAGAGAGGTATTCTAATGTCATCTTCCTTTGCAGCTCTAGGATGCCATAGGCAGGGATGGATTTCCCACAAGGCAAACCGAGGCCCAGCCTCGGGGCAGCAGGGAGTAGAGGGGCAGCAGGGGTGTGGAATTCCTATCTCCCGACACCCGGGACATGCAGTTCCAGGCACCTGGCGGGTAGTTGTTTTCTACAATTAGCCCTGCTTTGGGCAAGCAGGGATAAATGTACAGGGGGGAAGCTGCCACTTGTTTTGTGCAAGTGATCTCGGCGATGTCGCCGAGATCACTTGTATGCAGCCTGCATACAAGGGGGTGCATTGAGGAACCTGGCATTGGGGCAGCAGAGAGAGTAAATCCGGCCCTGGCCATAGGACTGAATGACAGAGATGCAAGGGAAGCTGATTTAGTGTGTCGCTATAAATCATGTGCTCTAAGAATACCTAACTTCTGCCATGCCCACAAATCAATGGAGCACCATGGCACACTTTCCTTGGCATATTTTCTATAGCCCATTGGAATATGTCCCTTCCATAGAAGATGTAGTTGGTTGTGTTTGCCCCCCCAGGCCAAACATTTCCCGTCCTCCTTTGGACGAAGTATTAACCCAATCATGTGCAAGAGAAATTAAATTAAACACAATATAGTCTGGCGTAAGTGATGTTCATGTTGTCTTTGCTTTGTTAGATACAATGTACAGAATTATGGCTAATCAGAAGGACTTGCTTGCAAAAGTTTATTGGATAGGCATGCAAAAGTGAACCAAAGCATTTGTAAAAGAAGCAAAGTCAATATTGACTGGTTAGCAGGTTATTCAGCTTTGTTATTTTTACATTTTTTGTAGGTGTTCTGTTTTTGTTGATGAAACAACTTTTCCATCCACTATATCTTCATAGATGGTCATAACTTTCCTGGTTTTGCTTGAATCTAGAAAAGAAAAGAATGCCAGTTACCCAAAAAAATAGAAAAGATAGAGTAGCTGTGTTGTGTCATATCTGGTAAGAGTAAATGTTCTTATATAATGTTTATTGGGGATGCATAAACCCTTAAAAACAGAGGTCAAGAACGCATGTTGTCTAAGTACCAGTCAACAGGTATCTGAGCTAAAATGTAACATTGCAGTTTATTCACTGTGGTTTTCTAAAGTGCTAAGACAAGGATGTCTGTCCAACATACTGAATTTACATCACATTGACAAAGAAATGTCCCAGATTTCCCTAATATCTATTGCCACCACTATACAGGAATCTTTAGGTGAGCCATTGGCTCTTTAATGGTTGGGCACTAGTAAGATTCATCCAGCTCTTCAATGACATTGCCATTCATCACACCTCCCGAGTAAACCAATTTTCAACAGGGAAGTTTACATTTTTAGGCTTCTAAAGAGTTGAGGCTTAAATTATATCAAACTTCTTTTTCAGTACTAGATAAAGTAGAGTAAGTTTATAACACATAGGGTGGTTATAACACATTGGGGTGTATGCAGGGCCATCGCTATAATGATGTAGCCTTGGGCTGGGGGGGGGGGGGGTGTTTGCAGTGTGCCTGCCACCCCTTTCGGGGGGGGGGGGTGATGTTTGCAGTGTGCCTGCCACCCCTTTCCAGTCTGACCATCCCAGGTTGCTAAGAGCTGGGTGGGGAGATGTGTAAGGGCAATACACATCTCCCTGCCCAGCTCTAAGCAACCCGGAACACTGGCTGGGTTCCTGCTCAGCTCCTGGCAACCAGTTAACATGCATTAGCATGTATTTATAAAACATCCACAGACCTGTTTTAGATGCACACAACATTGTGGTCACTAGATGGCAATGTGGCATATAGAAAATTCCTATGTCCGTCGCTCCGTCTAGCTGGCATAATGTAGTGTGAATCTAAAACTGATGCTCACAGGGCAAACAGCTCTCTGGACGTTTTATACATACACCCTCTGTGTAGCTTTTGCCAAGGCAAAGGCAGTGGGAAAGGGTTAGAACGTCTATTCGCCTTTTTTTACAGTTATCTGGGGCCCTGTTAGTGAAATTTACACTCACTTCCTGTCCTGCTGACAATGGTTTCACACAGGAAGTAAGGAAAATCTACAATAGGGACACAGACAGAAATCTAGCCTCTTATAACAAACTTTTTTACTTTTTGTCTCCGTGGCTGTTGAATAGTTTCCTCACTTCCTGTCTGGTAGAGTGTTACCTGTAAGAAAAAAGTTTTGCTGGACCAACACTTTAAAATGTTTAATCTGCCCACAACATACAGCAATAACCAGCTAACTGAGGTTCTAAACCCTCCCTATTTTTTCCAAAACAAAAATGCTAGACACACAAAACTATTGTAGCTGATTCATGCTGGGAGATTCAATTGTTACACCATTAGATCCTAAAAATTAAAAACACCCTCTCACCTTTCTCACCTTTCTCATGCAGGGCAAAGTGACAGTGCTTTTGCAAAGGGCATCCCTCAACCTCCTTATTCTAACCTTACCTGTGCTCCATGGCGAGAATAACCAGCACTTTTGGGTACAAGTGACCTGTTCCCCATGATAGTGTTGGGGCTAAGCTAACCTCTAGGTTCAAGCACTTGACTGGTGGAGTGATGTCACTGCTCCCCTCGAGCAGGAAGGAGCAAAGAACTGAACGTGTGAAGGTCTTGTTGCACTTTTTACCGGGTGTCCCAATAACAGTGAAGGGTGCTAGTAGTGACTGCGGATGGCGCCACTTGTTGCATGAATCGTTTGTAAGAATGTCACCAGCACTCCAGAAGTCCTCTCAGTATAACCAACAGGGTTATTCACAAAAGGGTGAATAGTTTGGAGAAGGCAGGAGAAGTGAACAATCTAGGACAACATAGCTGAACTGGAAAGTGAACTGAATTGCATAATTTTTCAAGATCAGCTATGTTGGCCTAGATTATTCACTTCTGCTGCCTTCTACAAACTTTTCACCCTTTCCTTAATAACCCTGCAAGTGTTCAATTATTAAGAACTATGTCAAATGAAGATGAGCACTTTTGGGGCTAAGCAGGGTCCCTTTATCAGGCATAGCATTGAGCAAAGAGCTGAGAGGCAGTACAGGTAAGGTGAGTATCGGGGTTCAGAGAAAGCCCTTTGCAGTTCCCCTGTCAACTTGCTCTGCTTGGGGAAAGTGCACACTGTAGGTGGGGGCATTCCTACCATGAGTTGGACCATATATTTGATCTCAGGTGTTACAGTTATAGGGGCAGGAGATTCAGGATTCTCACCAAGGAGGAAACATACTCCTTATTTTGCTATCCTTTTACCTATGCTGGACAGGTTGAACCTACAGAAGATGTGTGTGACAAAAGGAGGTGTCATGAAGGACAGGTGGAGGGTGCCAGTGCAAAAGGGGGTATCATGAAGGACAGGTGGAGGGTGCCAGTGCAAATGTTTACCTTTGGAAGATCCCACTGAACCTGAAGTCTTTTGAGTGGTGGAAGAAGATGAAGAGATTCCGAATGACCTTCAATACAGAGACAACTCATTAGTATTAATACCTTGATTATCTCTATTTTTCCTGGAATATATTCCTTTGTCTTACCCTCCTTCTCCATCCAGTAGGACTCGATATTGCTCAATCTCCTTCTCCAGTCTGGATTTGATATCCAGCAGCTGTCTGTACTCTTCACTCTGACGTTCCGTGTCAAACCTGCACTGAGATAACTGATCTTCTACGCCACCGATAATATCCTGTAGTTTTGCAATCTGAGAGCAGTATCGACCCTCTGTTTCTGCCAAGGTCTGCTCAAGGCCCCTTTTCTGAAGGTTGACAGCATCATTAAAAAAGTTTCAGTCATATAGATAAAAATAATAAAAAGAAAGAGACGGCATCCATATCAACATACTATAATACAGTATATCTGTCATTTCTCTAGAGGCCTTCATAAAACCTCTAAATGGAGGCTGTAGACAACTGGACACCTGCATTCCAACGGGAGGGGACATGGTGGTGGTGCATTGAAGTCAATGGCCCCGCATCCTCATCACCCGCCTGGAATGCGATTGCCCACACTAGAACGTGGGCAAAGTGTGATCATAAAAAATTCTGCATGGACAATTTTTTTTCCAATGCACTGCCATGCCCCCTCCCACCCCCAGAACGCAGGGGGAGTTTACCATGGAATACATGGCGTTCAAATGGCTAACCGCTCTGGAACACACTGTATATAGTGTAAACAAGCCCTAAAGCGACATTAAATCAAGAGTTAGATCTTTAAAATGCATTCTAGTAGCAGTAGGTTATTTCTAGATCTTAAAAGAAACTTAAAGATGGCTACACATGTTGACAGGGGTCATATTTTTTTTCCCCAACATAGACACGCAGTCCTCCACACAATGTTGCTGGTCAGTAACACATTCTTGGGTATAATAAATACAAAAATTCTAAACTTTTTAAATGTGGGGTCAGGTGAGTAATAGGTTCTGTGTTGCAGTTTACTGCCTAGTATACCCTAATAGGATAGAGAAGGTATTTGACTGTGCTCCTAAGCCTAAAAGAAGGTCTTTCAGATGCTTTGGGTCACATGGGAAAGTGGCAGGCACACTACAAACATTGTGCTTTACATGCTCCCCCCTCCCCCCCCCCACCACTTTCTGGCCAGAGCTTCCCATGTTGCCCAGCTCTTAGCAATCTGGGACACTCTGACCAGCAACCAGTGACGACACTGGATGCCAGAAGCTGAGCGGGATGCCAGCCGGATGTTGCAGAGGCCACCAACCACCGTTAGTGTGCACCACAAGCTCCATATCCTATCTGCTTTTAAGCACATGGCAAACAGATGTTATTGTGAAAACAGATTTAAGAAATACAGTCAATCAGGGCTATATATTATTCTTATGATGTCCGTGTGTCAAAAATTAGTTCACATTCAAACTAACAGCACAGGTCCAAAACCTCAGCCTTACCATTGCCAGCTGGGACTGTAGTTCTATCTCCAGGCTTTGAAGTGTTCTTTTCAATTCGGTCATCTCTGTACTCTTGGTCTGAGTCTCAGCTAACCCAGCTGTGATCTCTTTCTTCAACTCACTGCTCTAAAACAGCAAAACAACATGTTTAATGATTAAAAAAAGCATTGTGCAGTTTGTCATTCAGAGGTAAGTACGTACATAAGTCATCAAAAACAATGTGCCTATACATACATTGGTAAGACTTGAATGTATAATGAAGTTAGCCATAATTACAAAGAAAATTGAGCGCAAAACAACACAATTAATATCTACGTGAACAATCATTCATCATATTTTTTTTCAATATTTACTGATACATACGTCACCTAGTGGCATATTTATAAAGCAGTAATTGTAACTAACCAGTCAAGGTTAAATCATTTAATTTATTAAAGAACTCCATAGAAAATGTTTCTTGACCCTGGAAAGTGAAGCTACCCCCACACTGCAAGGGTTAAGCATTCATTTTTGTCTAGGTACAAAAATAAAAAAGTTATACTCACCTGAATCTCATCCGTCTGGGTCCTACAGCACTCCCTTCAGCCTGTTTTCTCTTATGCTGCAGTGATAGTATGTCCCTCGGAATCCACACGGCCTATACACTGTGTATAGAACGTGAGGGTTTATGGAAACTTAGACTGCTACAACAGGGGTGGAGACGCTGAAAGGACCAGGTCAAAAAGCAAGTTGGATCTGAGGATCCGGTGAGTATAACTTTTTTTAATTTTTATGATTAACCCTTGCAAGTGTTAAGAAAAATATTCCCTGGCGTTCTGCCTTAAAAACATCAACAGGAAGATTTACTTGCAGTGAGTGTCTGGTTCACACACATTCACTTATTTATAAATACTGTGTGCCCCTTTGTGTCAGTTTTATATCTTTCTGCAATTATACAATTTTTGTCTGGTGATCATAAAACCCCAGGTAAGATTCTCACTCCAAATTGTGGAAAGAATAAACCACCTCCCCAAGATGAACCCTTATTGCCCAACCAAAATATTGTTTTAAAAAGCTTTGAGACGTTTTCGCTATTTTAAATTTCACAAAAGTGTCCTGCTCTACTATAAACAAAATCTAAAAATGTATTGCCATTTGTCTTCCAGTCCCAGTGATCCCCCTGTTCCCTTAACTTGAAGGAAGGTCAAGATCAGTAGAAAGTGGAGCTAAAAATGCTCATATCTTTAAAAACAAAGTTTGGGTTGGGCTGTAAGAGTAAATTTTGGTTTATTCTTTCATCAATTTGGTGTGAGAATGTTATCTTACATGAGGTCAGTGGCATCACAAGGGCGGTGTGGTCCGCACCCGGGGGCCACCATTGGAGGGGTGACTGTCAGTCATTTAGGCGTCACACCCGGTCTCTGCTCCGGGTGACACCCAGCCTCTGGACGCCCCTGCATGAGGTTTTATAGTCAACAGACATGTTATGGTACTAATCCCAATAAAAACCCTCAAATAACTTGTGACACAGTAATCACTCCTCCCAACCTTCATCCATTTCATTTGTTTACAAACAAACCCACTCATGGTATTAACTCCTTACTCATTCATGGCGCATTATCTCCCAATGTGGGGTGGGCAGGTAAATTACCCCTTTTTGTCCTCTTCTCTCCCTCCATACTTCACTCTCTAATTCTTTCTTTATCTCTAATTACTTACATTATGGTGCCACGTAAATCACATCAACCTCACCCTTCCATAAATTTGCCAGCTTGTGGGACAACAATCTAAGCACCAGCAGACTGAGACACACTGTTCACAGCATCTACTGTAGCAACTGTGAACTTAAAAAATGTGTGTTACACTCACCTCCACACCCAGACAGGAATGTACAGAGTTTAAAACAATTTAGCTTTCTTCAAAGAGGCAATGATTCTATAGTTACTTATTTAGACAATGCAAAGATTCCGCTTAACAATTTTAAATAAAACAAACAAATGGTGGAAACAATTTACAAGAATATTACAATATAGACAATAACAAGAGTAAACTAAATGGGACTTAAAGTAAAAGGTACTTAGCAAAGTTTGCTTGGTCATTGGTTCCTGTGCAAAGTCCAATTCAGTTTAGAGTAAGTCCCAACTGGCAGAGTCACTGGCTCTCCATCAATGACTCTTCCAGCATCCTTAGCAGTCTTAATGTTAAACAACAGCTTCTGTGGTGCAGATGCAGCCTTTTTTTCTGGTCCCTGAAGAGCGCATTTACATAAATGACACAACCAATCAAATGATCTGAGGGGTGTTGAGGTGTTTTGCCAATTGTTCTAACTGTAATTCCAGTTAAAGGTACCATTGTTAATGCTATAGCATGCAAAGACAATTCAGATAACTGTGCACTTCTAACCTTAGGGCAATAGATTGCGGAAGGCCCTTTCTTTTTCAGCATGACTGTGCCCTTGTGCATAAAGCCTGGGCCATAAAGACATGTATTGATGAGATTTATGTGGAGAAATTTGAGACTAGACCTCAACCCTACTTAATACATTAATACATAAAATGGAACGCCAATAGCAAACCAGGTCTCTTTGCTTAACATCAGTATCGTGTTGTTTTGGTTAAATGGGCTCAAATTCCACAGACGCATTCCAAAATTTTGCAGAAAGCCTTCACAGAAGTGTGGAAACTGTTAGGACTACAAAGTGGAGGGCATTGGGGGCAGGACTCAAAATTAATCTCTTTAGTTTTAAAATGGGATGTCCAAACAAGTTTAAGTGTGATAGTCAGGTGTGACAAACTTTTGGTCATTTAGTAAAACAATTTATGGGGCAATCTAATACTAGTATAAAACAGCAATAGCTCCTGACAACTGGTCAATGACATGGTGGAAAATAGTATAATGTGCTGGTGAAAGCCCATGTAATCAGCTACTGTACCTGCTGCAGAAATTGAATTTCAGCTTCTTTTCTATTCTTCTCAGCTAGGGCCTCATACTGCTCCCTCATGTCATTTAGGATTTTGGTCAGGTCAATGCCTGGAGCTGCGTTCATTTCAACAGAGAGCTGTCCAGATTGTGAACCAGCCAGAGTTCCCATCTCCTAGTTAGGTAAAAGAAAACAAGATCAACATGTGAAAACTGTATTTTTTAAAATAATATTCAATATAACATTGCCAACACGAACCATATTGTATGTATGTGTGTATATATATATATATATATATATATATATATATATA